TTGGCAAAATGTCCAATTTTCAACAATATGTTCAATCACTCGACAATTAATAGATTAATTTATTTACTTCAAGATCAAAATGATGATGTTAGACATGACTTTTTGATGAAACTAGAAAAGAATTTAGCCGATGAAGCAGTTTCTGAAAGATTTTTACCATTAATGTTTTTTATGGGACATGAACCTAAGTTAACTTTAAAGTCTGAGGCAAGTATATGGATAAAATCGATGTACAAGAGAAAAGAAGGTAACAGTAACATGAAATTTGAAAGATCAATAGTTAGATTGATTCATACAATTGTACATAATGATGAATTCGCTGATTTGATGAAGAGATCTATAAGTTTGCCTGACACAAGTGAACAAGAGAATCACTTGGTTAAGGCTTACTCGTACGCTCTGGAGTATATTATATTCTATTTACTTGCTATTGGAAAGTCAGAAAATTGCTCTTTGTTGTACTACTTCGCAAGTCGTATAAAACAATATAGGGATGCAACAATCGACCAAAGCCTATATGACGTCGAACCTTTGCCACAAGAAGTCTTGAATATTTATTGTATTGCTGAATTAACACAATTGATTATTAAAGAACTTTGCGATATAAAGGGTTGGACCTTACAAACATGGCCTGGTAAAATCCAGCTCTCGTCAGACTTATTTGCTCCTATGACTAGTACTAAAGAGGCGCATGGTATTATTACTAGAATTTATATTGCAGATGACCTACAACTCAAATTAAGAGGTATGTTTAAACAAAGAATATCAGGTACTGGCTTGAAAAGAAAATCGAATGATAATAGTGATATTGTTAAAAAGCCAAGGGTTAAGGTTAATACAGCAAGTTCCAAATCAAAATCTAAAGCTAAACTGAAAACAAAATCGAAGCTGATAAAGCCCGATACTAAATCTTCTGAGGAATATCGTGAGGCAAGAAAAAGCAATCGTTCTAGACGCCAAGTAAACTATATTGAAGAAGAAGGTTCGAGTAATGATGAAAATGATGATAGTGATGAATATAGTGATTGAGAAATTTATGTCTATTTATACAAATGTATTTATATATTTCTATGAATGAGTTGCAGCGAATTAATTGTAATTGTAGGGTTTGTCTATGGTTCCATTTCCTTAATTGATTCGATATTATTGTTCTGTAGCCACTCCTCACCCAATATAAGAAGTCTGGCTGCAGCTGGAAACTTTTTGTTTGCAACAGAATTTGTCCATTCAATACTTAATAGATGCAATAATTTATAAGCTTGTTTCGAATAACAGTTTAAAAATTCTTTGGCACAGGCATCCCACCAATTACCCATACAAGCAAAATGAGCATTAGTAAGTAAATTAGGATCAGTGTTTAATGTTCTTGCTAAATATCTCCAGGATGCTGCAATGGAATACTCACTTAGCGACTGATCTTCTAATCTTGTCATAACTGCCCATACGGTACATATTCCCGCAACTCTTTCATCGTATTTAACTTCATCCTCCCATTTGTTATCATTTCTCTTCCAACCCATACGTATTCTTCCTTCTTCGGAATCAATTGAGCAAGTATATCCAATGATAAATGGGCATTTCTTGACAAATCGCGCAGTTAAATAATACTCGAATTCTTTATAAGTTGAAAGTAACGTGTATGCCAATCTTGCTAAAGGTAATGATGCAGTAGGCTTAACAGTTACTTCAGTTTCTGCTTGAGCTATTATAGCCTTAGCCATAAAGTTTAGAATCCAGTTGAATGCTAATTCATTCATATTTTTAGCGTCATTAACATATTGAATCACTTCTGAGGAGATTGTATTTAATTGGTTGAAACTATTTGATAATTGTCCGAATTTTGGATTAATTTTTCTCTTCAATGCCCCAATGGCTTTCTTCAATTCCTTGTTTTGATTTAGCGCATGAACCACGTTCTGCTTTATATCCTTAATGTCCTTTGCATACTTTTGGAAATCATTTTCAACAGAAGCAAAATTAGTTAAGCCTTTTTCTTGTTTAGCCTTTCGTTCAAGAGCTATTTTCTCTTGTTTTTCCTTCTCTTGCTTCATCTCCTGCAACTTTTGTTTTCTTTTTTGCTCTTCTTCTTGTTCTATGCGCTTTTTCTCTTCATTTTCCTTTCGTATGCGTTCTTCTTCTTCTTTCTTCCTACGGTCTTCTTCCTCCTTGCGTTTTCTCTCCTCTTCTTCTCTACGTTTCCGTTCGCGTTCTTCTCTCTCTTTACGTTCCTGCTCCACCCGTCGGCGTTCTTCCTCTTGTTTAATCACCTGCTCCACCTCTGACGATTGCAACTTCAATGATCTTTCAAAGTTACATATTATCGTATTAATAGCCGCATCGGCCGATGTTTTATTTTGCACAAACGAACTCTTAGCTGCGTAGGATACTTTATTCTCATCCTCGATTAACCTATCCTGCAATACTTGAGAATACAGGTGAATCATGTTTCGGAAACATCGAAATTGAGGTAATGTATCTACTTTTTCCGTAATATGTTTATCTTCGATGTACGATATTATGCTTTTGGTATTACTTAAAGCACTATCATCATCATCATGCTTGAAATTAATATATGCATTAGGTACGGTCACTTCCGTTCTATCAATTTCAATATCATAATTTTCAGGTATTCCAAACCTCATCTTAGTCTCTTCAGCTCGATAAGACTACCTTATTATTTCATATATCTACGTGATCTAAGAAGACCTTTCATAGTATTAATTTTAAGGCTGGTATTTACTAAGTGAGGTGTGTAAATTTTATCATCGATTTTGGTGATATTTTTTTTTCCAATTTGGTGAGTATGAAATTTTTCAGTCTTAAGTATACCATAATTGAAAATAAGCTTGGTGGATTGAAAATAGAATGAATATTAGTAGATTAACTGTACGTCAATTCTCGACAAGTGGACGTGTTCAAAGAACGGGGTATTCTACCGTTCAACCGGTACACCATTTAGTGAAAATACAGAAGGCAGCATTGAAACCAGACTATCAAGGTTTACTCATTCCTAAGGACGATATTAGGTCTGTCGGATTCAAACCAACGGAAATAGATCAAGATAGGTTATCCGAACATTATGAAAACACATTACAGCTGGACTTATTGTTGCACTACTACGAACACGACGCACAGGTGATTCCAGGTAACAAGAAGAGATCATGGGGTACGGACTCGCCGTATGCGTTATATCGTAATTTGAAGAACCCTAAGGGTGTAGGTAGAGCAACCAGAGATATCCACCCGGTGACTTGGAAAAATGTGCCACAATTAGTGGGCATCAGTATCAACGCATATAACTCGGACGCATTAGAAGAAAGTTGGCTCAATATTTCTACTCGTTTGCAAATTGCCCAAATCACCAATGTCAAAGCAAAACAAACGTATAACAGATCAAATATTTTACCATGGAAATGTAGGGTTGGTAAACCTTGTGGTTGTAAAGCTGAGTTGACAGGAAGAGACATGACTCAATTCGTATCTACTTTAACTGAATTGGTATTACCAAGAATTCGTACTTTTAAGGGTATCAAGAATACCTCCGGTGACAATAATGGTAACATAACATTTGGTTTGGAACCAGAAGATGTCAAGTATTTCCCAGAAATTGAAAATTTCCAAGAATTATTTCCTAATTTATTTGGGTTCCACATTACCTTCAAAACTACTGCAAGAACTGATCAACAAGCAAGAACTTTGTTGAGTTCGTTAGGCTTACCATTTTATGACGCTGTATAAATAAACCATCACCCCTGTAAATACTTAGATACTTAAATAAATGGAGTCGCATCATGTAATTTTTATTTTGGTTTTTATATGTAATTATGGAAGAATTAAAGAATTCAATAGTTCACGAGTACAACATACTATATTCTAACCGAATAATACAGAAGGATAAGAAATGGAATGATGGGAAATTGAAGTACTATGAATTTAATAATAAGTTAGAGATTTTTAATGAAGATGGAAATTTGATCGAAGTTGATTTCATAAGTGAAAAATTTAAACATAATTTAGTAGAACAGAATGAGTTCAAATTGCCTAATAATAGGTTACTCATTGAAATAGATTGCAAACTTTCAAGCTATACTAGAGATGTGTCTGAATTATTTAAACGACCTACCAAAGATGCAAAGTCATCATCATCAATAAAAAATAATGCGATTGGTATAACTAAGATCAAGTCAGAACTGAATCAGATCAAACAAGAAAGAATCATTAAGCCCAAAATTTACCAACCACTTAAACATGAACCGTTTAAAAAGGTTTTAAATAAGCAAATAACGATCAAGCAGGAGCATCTGCCTATAATTAAGCAAGAAGCTGTGTCTGTATCCGTACCATTACCGCAATCGCTTCCATGTCCAATAATTAAACAAGAACCGAAAGATAATCACATCGAAGGAATAACGACAGGTTTAGAAGTCCAACAGCAAGATTTAAGAAAGAATGAAGAACGAAGACCACTTCCAAGGGTCCATCCAAAATCATCCCGGATCTTCAAGTATTTGGCTACAAATAAAGCATTATCCACGTCATCCAATCGTTCAACGTACTAAATGGGTTTGACAAGTTATTAATATTGCAAAAGTGTTATGAACCGCTGATTTTATCACTTCGTGAACTATTAACTTACAATCTACTAAATTGATAATATAAAGTATTTATTACCCATATCTGCATATCTAATTGAACATCAATTACTTATCTTCTTTCTTTTGTTGTTGTTCTCGATAAACCATAATTGGGACTGCATTAGATGTGAAAACCTTTATCACAGGAAATGAAGAAATCAACCCATTCAAAGCTGCTAATGCAGGTCTATTTGACAATCTCGCAAGAAATGCTTGCGCTGGTAACTCAGTAGAGGACATAATACGGACAATGAAGATAAAAGAATCGCTGTCAATAAGGGTATGTAGATAACCACCTTATATACGCCTAAAAAATTTGTTTGTGGATACAAAATAATCAAAAACCGCAAATACAAAACGCCATGGCTATGATAAAAGTTTATTTATTTTATATAAAAAGTTCTTGAACGATGCACTAGATAATCTTTTCAGAAAGATTAATGAATCAACTAATCTAGAATATAACTGATTGTTAATCCGCTCGCTTGACTCAAGCGTCTTAACAGAATTATTATAATGATAATTCTCATTCACCAAGATGTCTGCTTGCCAACTATCATCAATGATAGTTGGTGTACCCAACAACGGGATATGATAAACGAATAAACCATCATGACGTAACTCAACCCAATAATCTGTTATTGGAACTGAAACTAAAGGTGATACAGGAATAGGATCCGTCCCATCTTCACTGACATCGAATATGCCACCAATTTCAATATTTGGTAAATAGACAGGTACACTTCTTGATGCGTACCGCTTTGTTCTGGAGAGAACCAATGTCTTATCAGCGAATCTAAACGGTTGGGACCAGGGAATCTCGGTCCATTTTGTATCAAAAATAAACTTCCCATCTATGCATAATATAAGATGATATTCATTATGAAATGAATCATTTGACGAGAAGAATTGATTTTCCAAATTATAACCAGATAATTGGCAATATCTTCCCATAACTATGTTAAATAGCCCGCATAGTGACAATAAATAATAATAATAATAGTAAATAAAGTTCATTCTTGAATCGTATAATAAGAATGTAGAAATAGAACGATAAGTATTACTTCTGTGCAATATGCGCATGTCTGTGAGCCGGCCTTTGCAATTGAATTTTTTTCATTTTCTTATTGAACTTACTATTCTCATTCTCATGAACCAATTTCAAGTGTCTTTGTAATGAGTCCTTGCGGTAGAAATTCTTACCACAATTATCGATTTTGCAAGAGTATATCAAATTGTTCAAGGCCTGCTTGATATTCTGATTTATTGATTGCGTCAACTTTCCTTTTTCAAAATGTTTGGTGAGACAGTGATGTCTCAACTCCGCCTTCCGAGCAAACCCTATAAAGAAGTAAGGACACGAATCAAACGGGCATTTATGAGGGGTTACCACCTTGTACTTGTCGAAATGATGGCCCAACTGCAATATGCTGTCAAAGCGCTGGTTACAATGGGTGCAAATAACTAGGTGGTTATCGTTCAAGATCGAGTGGTCGTGGTTCAGTTCCAACTGCTGTACCAACAGGACCCGTCTTGAGCGTAACTTTGGCTCATGTAGTTCGTACTGCTTTATTGTGGCAGTAAATGATTCGGGCGTCGACAGCTTTGTATCTGTCTCACTCACGGTATCGCTAAGATCGGACGATGTGCCGTCAGTATTTTGAGAGTACATCGCATTACTTGAACGTCTGCTCCCGGAATCATATTCCACGTCGCAGTCCGTATCATGGTGTTTATGAAGCATCATTCCCAGCATCTGCTGTTGTCCCTGCTGCACCGGAACCAGATAATGGCCATACTCCTGCCCGTAATCATCATATGTCTCCATATAGCTCTGTCCGTATGCTCCCTGTGGGTACCCCAATCCATATTCAATCCCATATTCGACTCCATAGGACTGGTGGTGGTCCACGTCACGTCCTATAACATGGATGTGTTCCGGGGCATTTATGTTTCCGTAATTCATCATATCAACCGTTCCATGAATGTTTCCGGCAGAAACAACATTTCCCGAACAACCTCCAATATTACCGGCAAAATTTTCACTAATGCTAGCATGAATACTTTCCTCTATCCCTCCATAACCTCTCTTGTATACATCACCAAACGAGTTATAGTAGCCGACATTTTCGGGCTCGATATCAAAATTTAGCTCTCTCAAGCCCGTTTTGTCTATTTCGTCACTTTCCATAAATCCTTGGATAAACGAAGACATATGTAATAGTGGCTCTCACTTTTTGGTTAACATTCCAACCAGGGATTTGTTTAATTATATATACTAGTATGGAGAATCCCAAACCAGTGTTACAGATCTGACTTTATGCAGGCGCCTTGACCCGCAGCACTCTTCATGCATTTAACTTTGCAGGCCTTGCTTGAACCTAAACTTTAAAAGGGTCCCGAACAAAGGGACTAGTCGGGTTTATTTGGATTACGAGAATAGAGAGGGAGATTCAATTCCGATCAATATCTGAATATTCGACTTACCATTCTTCCGTGGGCCAGACCGAGGTAAAGAAGTTATCAATAGATCGCCTGAAAAAAATGCCAAAGGCGTAGCATAGTGTATACGGTTGATTGTAATATGAGTAATATGGTAATTAGTAAAAGCTGTAGGATGAATGACAGGTGACTATGGAAACGATGACTATGATCAAATACATGGAAAACACATTATTAGGGCGGCTGGAGGCACCCTGGAAGTAAATCGGCGTCAGCATCACTGGTAACGTATAAAATCTTAGACATCCAACGCTATCCTCGAAACCAGGCGGTCGGCGTGCATCATATAACAAGACATTGGGCTGAATGCGCCACGCATACTGCGGGGTTCCCCGACCCTGGAATCAGGTCGTGTCGAGCATATCAAACCTTTCATGGCTTATATCAAATGTGGAATATACCATTGGGTTGGCAACGTAAAACATAACTACCCCTACTGGTTGGTGTTGTTAAAATGTCTTTTATCGGGTTATTTTCCTGGGAGGGCGTGGAGAACAAATTGATTTTTGGTTGTCATGTTGGTCCAATGTGTTCCTGTCGCAGACTATCGTGGCTAGAAGGTCGTGGAGGCGTCCAATATGTGCTAGGGGCCATTCTGCCCAACTACGAAGATACATGTTTGCTATTGTAGCTCTGTTGGAAGTCGTTAGGTCAGAATATTCTGAACGTTTTATAATCTGGTGGCTAAGCAAGTTTAGATGAAACTGACATCCTTATTGTTATTGTACGGTATATTTTTGTACACGTTTTAAGGAACCAGGGTCTGAGTGGTAGAAAGCAGTCATGGCGAATTATGCTATAGTAACCGAGCTCATACATGATTTTGTGCGATGGTGATTTTTGTAATAGAGGATGGTATTATTGTACCGTCGGGAAAGATGTTCCGAGGAAAATATGCAATGCGGCTCAGGAACTTGTTTAATCTGGCCAATCCTAATGCTAGCACGTATGCTGAGTTAGACCTTCAGTCGTTCATCTGATAAGTGCCTAGAATAGAGACAATGAGGATGTATACAAGTTATAGAGCATAGGATCACAGACGGTAGACAAATGATAGGCTAAATAATAGGGCTATTCAAATAAAATAGGTCATAGACAGAATGTAGTATGTTGGAGCCCAGCCAGTAATGCGTTCAGCATCGTAATTCATGTGGGGCTGAGACATAGGAACCATGAGACGAAATATCCTAACGCATACTATTTGTTCAGCAACTTATCATGACAAGATGCGAGCATTGACAAAACGCACTTCCTAAACGCATAATCCCTTTTATCACTATATCTCCTCCTTTTGACCATTTGACGACGCTTGCTACCCAAACTATAAACCGAAATGAACAGTACTAAGGTACTACCAACACTAACATAATACGTAGATGTTCAAATTACAGGCAAGACTAAACCACAGTTGATATTGCCACTACGCGGTATGGCAACTATTGGCATTTATGCTTAAATTGGAAAGTTTTGGTACGTTTATTAGATATTTTATTAGTTATTATTGATCAACTACCGAGGGTACTGTAGCCAATAGAATCCGCTATTTATAGTAATGTATCTAGCTGCCAGTATATGTATGTTTTACTCTATAATCCTGCAGTATATTACGGATTGCGCATAAAATGGGATGTTTTTATCAACCTATTTAATTTACGGTTACGCACGTCCAGAACCAATCCTGAAGAAAAACCCCACCATATCACCAATTTGCGCATTTGGACATTGCGTTTCATTCTTTTTCTATAGAGATTGATACGCTGGTGTATTTCGGGATGCTTGAGCAACCCTGCAAAGTAACAGAACCATATTATTCTTGTAGTAAGATCGTATCATTCATATAAAATAAATATCAATCGAAATAAAGGTCTAATAATGCATATCATGGTTCTGGATCTGCGTAGGAATAATCATGAAGCTATGGTAGCCGCCTGAATGGATCTAAGTGGCTATTGTATAACTGGGTTTCAGATCCGGTCTGAGACAAAATTTTGCGGTAGGCTTAGCGGGGATGACTCGCCATCGCGAAGTACACCATCTAGCATAGGCATAAAGTGCTAAGCGAAGACTTACATGGTATACTTTGGTAGTACGGTCGATTAGAGCAAAACAATGGCCAGGAAACAAATCCTGCTAAATATTTACGAACCAATCGGTTATACATACCTATCAACTGACGCCAACTCCTAGCAGTACCGGCCCAAGGCCGGATAGGTAAAAGAGTTCGGTTGGAGTGAGCAAGTACTAGGTTCTTGTATCAGGTATTTAGAAAATATTAGCGAGAATACAGGCGTTAAAATTATGAGTACATATTTAGATAATCATTATAAAGTGCAAAAATATGACTAGGTCATGAAGAGACCCACCTAAGATCTATGTACTACTAGCTGATTAGTTTTGTGTAGCTTTCGTGTAAATCAAATGATGCTTCTTCTACTTGGAGGCGCTTAGGGTATTAGGAATTAGCTTTGATTAAAAGTCAATATTCAACCTATATCGCATTTGCAATGACTAGTGCGTCAATAGGGGCTCAACACGAAATGTGAACATGTTTATGTATATGCGTTTATCTTGGCCATTAACCTTGCTGACTACCCTTTTAAAGGCTTAAACGTGGAGGATTTCGAATTAAGCATATTATCTACAAATAAAGTATCCGAAAGCTAGTATAGATCCAACACCATAATTCGGTTTTGGGAATTACTTCACAAAATAGTTCGGTAACTAGCTGTAATTAACTTTATGGTTTTTATGTATAATTGTTTATGTTTCCTACTGTGAACTTTAATCTTAGTTTTTGGCTGCAGAACAAATAAGAGTACCATATGTTTCAAATTCAAGTATTTCGCAATTTACAAAATTATGTACATTTCTGCCAAAACAATAACGTATATCCACTTTTTTATGTCATCTTTATCGCACGATAATATCCATGTACATACCCCCAAGTGATAAGATTCATGAACATTATTTTTCATTGACTATAGGGGTTTTAGGTGAAAAAGACTGGACCAAAGCATTTCATAGTTTTGTGTTACTTTTGGTTTCCTACTCCCACTCAACCCGTATTGGTAAGAATATCACCCGAATGGCAACATCTATACGGTAATCTATTGCAGTTGCTGTTATCATCCACCCATCTCCTGTGTTATTTGTAGAAAGTCAGTTTTGGATAGATCAAGCACTTGGGGTTTTTGCAGCTATACTTTTGGCGTAATGTGCAAAACGACTAACCTGTAAACGAAGGTATCTTTTCGAATTGAAAAATACAACAAGAAGAGATGACATCTACAACGGTTTATCTAGCCAATTATGAACAAATTAGTCAAGGAGTTCGAGAATCCAACGTGGTCCGATATTTCTACGCAGCTTCTCAAGAATCCGTATAATTTAAAACTTTGGGAGAAACTTGTCGAAGCAGCTGAAAGTAATAATGGAAACCGCATAAATAAGATTAGCTCACCGCAAGAAATCGATTTACTTCGTGCATCGTATGATGGCTTGCTCAACAAGTACCCTCTCCTAGTTAATTATTGGATAAGATACGCTGAATGGGAATTCAAATTAGGAAATACTCAAACTGCGAATGAAATTTATGAGAAGAGCTTGTTAAATTTGTCATACTCGATTGAGTTATGGATCAGTTACTTGAATTTTAAAATAAAGACCATTGATTCGGACGTGAAAAAAGTTCTCAGTGTGTTCGAGTCTGCTAGAAGTAAGATTGGATACCACTTTCATTCGCATGAATTCTATAGCTTATATTTGTTGTTTTTGCAGAATTATGCAAACGATCACAATGGGTTCAAGTTGAAGTATTATGTATTATTACGGATAATTATTGAAATTCCAATTTACCATTACGGTGAATTTTTCAAAAAGCTATTTACTGCTATTAATGAAAAGAACTTGACTATGGAAGTGGTAGGTTACTTAGTACCTGAAAAAGAATTGCCCCAGTTTACAAATATAAAAGATATGAAAACCGTTTCGTTGAAATTAAAAAAGATATTCACCGATGTCCTTATTACTACCCAATATAAGGTGTTCCAAGTATTTTATTTTGAGAAAAAAATCACCAGACCTTATTATGATGTTTCATACTTGTCAAACCAGGAGATAAGTAACTGGAATAATTACTTAAAATTCATTGAATTGAATTATCCTCTTGATTATGTTATTCTAAGTTACGAACGATGTGTTCTAACTGCTGCTGATTATTCCAGATTTTGGATTAGGTATGCTAATTTCTTCATAAACTCATTGAATTATACCATAGCAAAAGAGATATTACATAGAGGTTTAAACTTTGATAATAACTATAAGCTCCTTATCAAATTAGTCGATTTGGAACTTTTTACAGGAGATTATTTAAAGGCAAGAGATCTAATACTATCGCATGTTAAAGTAAACAAACTTATTCCAATCAAGGTGTACGAGAAGATGATAAGTATTGAAAGATTAATGAATCCAACAGATGATGAATATTTAGTTAATTTAGTCTCAGAGATAATCAAGCAAACTAATAATGCATGGTTTTTCAAAGTGATTTTAAATTACCTGTTATCGAGTCAAGTTACTTTGCAATTGTTCGAAAGTTTTGAAAGTTCTTTTAAAAGTTCTTTCATATATTGGTCTTCGTGGCTCTTCTTCAACAAAAAAAATGGCTCTGATAATGCTACAATTCTTGATAAAAGCTTACAATTTTTGAAAGATGATGATAAATTAAAAATAAATAAAATAAATAATTACAAGAAAACTACTTCACCGAAATTTGACGAAGAGTATGATACATTTTTGGATTCATTTGCATAATTTATCCAAGAGAAAAGTTGGTAATTGTTACAAGTAACCACCAGCCAATAACGATAATTCCTAATCTTTTATCGAGCTTCCAATTATTCAATGGAATATAAATCAAATAGAATACGATTGTCGCAATTAATCCCAAAAGACTGACAACCAAATTCGTTTTTAATTCAAAAACTAATGAATGATGGTTCAAATTAAGAATTAACCCATTTACTCCAATTCCTAGTAATATAATTAACATAGGAGTACCCAAACATGAATTAAGACCGAACATTGGGTTTATTGCTGTGGAAATCGTTATATTGGTGACAATATCGTTGATCGAATTACTTGCGGAAAAAACGATTAATCCTAGCAAGTAATCCGATATTCTCAAAATAATTCCTAAATTCTTGAAGACCTTTAAGACTTGCTTTGATATTTGTGACATGATTATTAATGACATAGTAATCCCCACTACGTTGATGATACATTGATAGAGCTTTGGAAGCCTATTCAAAATTGGCTTGATAAATTCCGTTATTAATATTCCCATCAAAATGATTGGAACCAAATCAACAAGAGTAAGATTGAAAAATTGCATGTTCAATACATACGATATTATGCAGAAATGCCAAATTTGAAATAATCTGGAATCGTAGTATGGCGATGAAGAGACCGGTATAAACAACGTGAATATAAAATTGATGCAATTCACTATATGTTTCAGAACACTGAGATACCAGCTCTCAGATTCGTACGGTGTCTCGAGTTCATCGTCAATATGAAGCATGGGTGATGGTGAACGTATGACTTCTGTATTGGATAAGATATCAAGAGCATCATCTATGTTTAGCGCATGATTCATGGATTTTATCGATTCAGCCGAATATAATGAATGACATTCATCCTCAGTACACTCTATTTCCTTCTCAGCTCGTAATAGATATGCAACATAGCAGAAATAAAATACAATCATAATGATACATTCATTCATAGTTATGACGCCATCAGACAAAATGTACAGAAGAAGCGTGAGAACCACCAATATCCACACAAAATCAGTTAAGACCCATTTAGCATGATTTATTTTAAATGGACGAACTAGACTAATAATGCCAATTATTACGGTAATGATAATCAATAGAGACCCAAGTAGCTGTCCCAAAACTAAATCGACGGAATTTGCATTTAGAGCAACATAGTAATTTATAAAATCTCCAAATGCATTAGTAGACGGTATTAATATAGAACTTAAAATCTGATCATTAATGAGTAAAAGCAGTGCAATATCGTTTAGATTTGGGAACAAATAGTTAGATACCAATAGACTTAATGATATTAAAAGCAACAGTAGTCCAACAAGTATCACTAATGACGTAGATATCCGTAGAATATATGAAGGGTAATATTTTGAACAGTAATATTTGCTTGCTATACTAAAATACTCAGTATTACAATTTTTGCCAATATACTGACAATAGTTTGTATGATTAATTAGATCGCAAGTAGTTTCATCGGATGTCAAGGTATCGGTATGTCCGTAGAGACTATACGCAACTAGGAGACATAGGGGCACACTAATGTACCAGTACTTCATATGTTATTTTGATATCTTTAGTGGTATTAGTATAAAGTATAAAAATATAGGGTTGCTCGGTTACTATAAGTTTTCAGTTATTAACGGCTTATTATGTACAGGAATATCGTTGCTGTATCTATTGCTATTTTAATGTCGTGGTGGCACTATATATCAAACAGTTACTTCTTATTATTATATTTGTATTAGTTTCAATGGCTTCAACATTGGGTAGGGAAATGTGGCACTACAGCGATAAACAGGATTTTAAAAATGCGGTAAAGGAATTTAAGGGTAAAGGTGTTGAGATATGGAAAGGATGGGATCAATACGAGCACAAATATTTTATATCTAACTACAAAGTAGGTGGAGGAGGAGATATGAATAATATGGAAGAAAGTTTAAGAATATTACATGAAGAAGCAGGTTTTGGGTGCAAATCTGATAACTATAGGAGGAGTTCTTAGTAAAGAAGGTGAGGTTTGAAAATAATTGCACCCATTAAAGAATATGGCAGGTTACTGCAAACTGGTAAAAGGATTAAGATAAAGTAATTTAATTATTAAAGAAAAAGACGAGTGTTCATCTTGTTTAAGTTTTACCTGATTTGACGCAGAAGTTTAGATGAATAAATGATTATCAGATACAGAGCTACATTTTTGAGAGAAAATGGATGCAAAAGCCAAAATTAATTGGAATTATAAATTATTCTTCAAAAAAATAGTCCCAGCTCAATCAAGATATGTCGTCATAGAAAGGTGCTTTTAAGGGTTATTGAAGGTTTAAAGCTCTTTCGATCACTTTTATGGAAGAATATTTATATTTCGATCGGATCGTCTAAGTTTAACATACATAATGTCTCAGGGAAAAGTACCCCAAAATAGAACGGGAAGATGTCTAAATTTTCTAATAGGATATGATTTTAAATATATATCTGGAATTAAGGCAGCATGCGTCATCCAGAATATAAACTAATAATATAAGAATATGCTCCACTGCGATTCCATTTGGCCATGGCATCCTAGGGTGGTCTATAATGTATCTTGTGCCTTTATATATGACTCTTTTGAAAGGGCTTCAAGCGCAATTTTAATATCCAAGTTGATGTCATCTATTAATGCTTCTGCAATAGTTAGTATCTTAGTATTCAGAATAGATCCGAATCGATATTCGGCACGTTCAGCGCAGCTGAACATAACTCTATTAACTAGTCAAAAAATAGTGTTTTACGTACCCTTTGTCGTATAATTTAATTCCGGTCTGATATAGCCCAACACATTATATTTTATTAATGCCCCATAAAAATTATCACCAAACTTGTGAATTATATGTACTTCAGCAGCTTTCTCTTTATTGTGATAAAATGGATTCCATCCAATAGACATAACCATTGGAAAAATGCATAATTCTTCCTTCTCTAAATTGGTACCATTATTGAACATGATTGGTTGGCCATCATTTCGAGTGTGTTCTGATATGTCTGCTTTGTCATTTGGTATCACCTTACACCATCCATAGTAGATACCTGTAGGTAAACTATGTAATGCTATGCTTATGGGGATATTTGCTGTTGGAATACCTAATTCTGATGATCCTCTTCCAAAACCACTGATAATGTTGGAAGTACCATGTATTGGAAATGGAGCAGGTGGGATATCGGGAACGTGAGTTTCAGGTCTCGTCATATGAGCTGATCTAAGTGCTATAATCTGAATGAAGTATTGTTGATAAATAAAGCTGTCAATTTTGCTATCAACAGATTTGAGTCTTCCGAAAAATGAACAAAACTTACACAAAACTTAGGATATTAACATTTCATACGTTGATTATACATATATACCTATAGACGTACGTTTTGTAGAAATAAATTATTTGAATCTTGATTCCAATTGATCCAATAAGGTGACACAGTCCTTAGCGAAGTTTCTGATACCTTCTGATAATTTTTCGGTAGCCATAGCATCTTCGTTAAACAAGTGTCTGAATTCGGCTTCGTTATCGATATAAGAGACCTTTTCATCTTCAGTAGACTTAGCAGCAGAAGAATCTAACTTCTTTGGAACATCTTCATTAGAGTTGTACAATTCCTCTAATAATTTTGGAGCGACGGTCAAGAAATCACAACCAGCTAAAGCCTTAATTTCACCAGTGTTTCTGAAAGAGGCACCCATGACAATGGTGTTGTAACCGTATTTCTTGTAGTAGTTGAAAATCTTTCTGACAGAGATCACACCTGGGTCAGTTTCACCGTCGTATTCCTTACCAGTGGAAGCCTTGAACCAGTCTAAGATTCTACCGACAAATGGAGAGATCAAGGTAACCTTGGCTTCAGCACAAGCAACAGCTTGCACGAATGAGAATAATAAAGTCAAGTTACAGTGGATACCGTGCTTGGATTCTAATTCTCTAGCAGCTTGGATACCTTCCCACGTGGAAGCAACCTTGATCAAGATTCTGTCTTTGGAAATACCAACGGATTCGTATAACTTGATGAGTTCAATCGCCTTCTTGATGGTGGCGTCCTTGTTGAAAGACAATCTGGCGTCGACTTCGGTAGAAACTCTACCTGGGACAATCTTCAAAATTTCCTTACCGAATTCAACCAACAAACGGTCTAACGCAATTGAAGCTTTTTCCTTAGGATTGGATCCCTTATGCTGAGCGTAGTCAATGGCAATGTCAACCAACTTGGCGTATTCAGCCTTCTTAGTAGCTGCCAAAATCAACGATGGATTGGTTGTAGCATCTTGTGGAGTATATTTGGCAATTGATTCAAATTCACCAGTATCGGTGACGATAACAGTACCAGTAGACTTTAATTGTTCTAATGAGTTAGCCATGATTAATATTTATAAGTATAATTAATATTACAGAAATATAATTTAATTGATTTGATTGTAAAGTCTTGGAGGCGATTCAATGCTCTTATATACTCACTGATCTCCGAACCTGGGCCAGAGGATTCCGCTTAATGCCAGAAAAAGAAACAAGAGAAATTCGACTCACGTTCCGGGTAACTAACGCAAAATGACCGTTTTACTGGAGAAGAGGACCCTCCGAGTTACTTTTTTCAATCGGGGATCCGACTGCTTGTACGTTTCCCTCTGACATACATCTGTATATAGCAAACTTCGGATGTATAACCATTACGTTCCCTCTATGGTTAATTCGGCGAACTGGTCTGCTAGCGAAAAGTAGATTATTTGTGCGCGAATTGAGAGAATTAGAGGGGCGATATTTTACCTGTTGAGCGTTAAGCTAACAGTGCATCAGAGTTATTTATTGATGATATACATGTAGAACGGAAGTCATTAACCATTTACTGGATATGAGAGGATATATAGTATATTTATGGGTGAGACTGTAGCTAATAAGGATATCTAGCGGATGGGGGAACCTACACAAGATCAAAGCAATTCCGAAATCAATTCTATTCAAATATTGGTGGATGGATGCAAAAAGTATGGGTGGCGCCCACCAGACAAAACAAGAGAGCAATCGCTGCAAGACATACGCGCAATTCTGATATCTATTCCATAGCAGCGATGTATTTCTTTAGAAGTTTCCTCGTTAACCAAAGTTAGAGAAATTGTCAAATTCCGGATTCATATCTAAGCCTGTATGTGTAAATGGATCAAATATGTCAAAGTAGGCTTTGTAATTTAGATCTGCTAAATCTTGTTTCATGTCTAGCCAGAAATCATCAAGATTGGTAGTATTTGTAATCATATCATTGTTTGTAAAAGGTAATTGATATTCAAGATTTCTATCGGAAGAAGTCTGTTGGGAGAAAGACTCTTCATGCGATTCTGTCTCATTGAATAGCGGTTTGAGTAATTCAATCATTTCATCGATCGCCATTTCGCTGAAGGGATCCCAAAGGCTTAAAATTGATTCCTTACTTGCCAAATATAAGTTCTCAGATGACATTACCGAGAGAAAGTGGCTATGAACTTTATGTATTCTCCAAGCCATATAGTATTTCATACTTAACCTTTGAGACAGTCCAATATCCATTGTGAGCACTTTTGTAGAAGGGAAATTAAAGTTTGAGCTTTAAGGTAATGGGAATCCTTTTTTAGTCTATTTGGGCTGTTACCCTCCGCTATGTTCATTTTGGAACTCGAAATATTTTACACGTATCAAAATAAACGATAGAGAAGAAATAATCTTTTGCGATAGACGTATCAAACTTGGAATAATATAAAACAAGCTGAATTCATCCAAGACATTGGTGTCTTTTAGGATTTTCAGGTAATATGGAAATATATCTATAACAGAAATTTTCAAAAGTTTCTTCGCATAAAAGTATACCAAGCCATCGTTCTTTTTTTTCTCGTAATGAATAAACATTTTGAAATATATTGATGACATTAAAAACCTTATATCAAGCATACCTTTCAATTTAACCATATTTTCCAATGTTACCAGATCATTAACATTCAATTGAGCTTTCAAAATTATATCTCCTTCCTGTAAATATGATTCTAGGCAAGAAAAAGAATCTAAAAGTCGATTTATGTTTATTCCTTCTTCATTGAAGAAAATATCAAAAACCGTTTTTAATAACTCCAAGTGCGTTTTTATATTTGTAAATACCTGAATTATATCACCCTCTAAGTTTTGGTTGGTGCTATTTTCAATTCCTTGGCTATAATAAGGAATCTTTGTATCGAATGGAATAATACTAGCTGCTAATGGATCTCCAAATAGAATCGTATTTTCATTGTCTAAGCACCTAACAAAATGCCAAATCTTTCTACCCAAATTATTTAGTCTAGGGTTGCTGAACTTATAACATAAATGGCTAGGGTCTCTACTGAACCCTAATGAATATGTCATCTGAATAATTGCTGGATTCAATGTACGCGAATGCCTGTTGTCTAATCCATCACCTTCTTCCGGTGCATACGTATAATAAATTTTAATATAGAGTGCTAACTGCAAAACTTGAATATCATTACATTGATTATAATTAAAGTGGCTAAAGCAACATTGCGCTACCCTGAACACGCCAATTCCTATGACATTAGACACCAAAACGTTTTTCTCCAAATCAGCGCTTATGTCTTTCTTTATAAGGCTTGATGTTAACGCTAAATAGGTCAATCTTAAAAAAACTAAAAAAAGACCAATTACTGCAAAATCCACGTTATTTTTAATTGTTAACCGTATTAACCCCTCATCCATATAATTTTTCTCTTCTATAATCTCTTTCAACTGTTTTCTAAAATCAAGTTCGTCTACCAAGGGAAAAAAAGGATAGACCTTTAAACAGAAATAATCCATTAATTTCCAACTTACGTTTCTTTGTGGCAATAAGGTCTTAATCCTTTTCACTAAATCATCATCATCATCCTGTAGCATACCTGTAAAAAAACTGGCATTTCCTTGTGTGCCAGTATTTTTTTGAAGGGATGATGATCCCTCTATAGTTTGAGTATTTGTATCTTGGAAATTATGGACCTCTTTGGTATATACATCTAAATCCTCGTTAATGGTTTGAAATCTTTTTTGTGGGATTCAATATAACGCACGCATGGCAATGTATACTCATCCAGGAGTATTAATGTAAACCAAGAAAGCGGACCGAAATATTGCCTACTGTAACCACTTGATCCCTCAATCTTACTTCCACTTTCAAAGATACTAATTGTCTCTCGAGGCAGATCATGAGGGATTTTCGAATGACAACCCAAAGGTTTATCCTTTTCTGCTGTAATCAGAGAATAGTCGCCAGTTGTACCTGCTTCATTCAAAATCGTCGTGTTAGTATCAAACGCTGTTTTTTTTTGTCTTCTGAGACTGAATTAGGCCATATTAGTTTTAGGCTTTGCAAGTTTCTATTTGTGGAGTACCTGTTTGTCGTTAGATCACATCTCTGATTCTTATATTTTATACACATAGAACAGGGAGCATTTCCATCACATTTTACTTTTTTCTTTCGACAAAGAGAACATGCATGTTTCCCTCTTCCATTTCTTCTCAAAGAATAATTAGGTGGAGTAAAAGACATAAAAAATCTATTTATCCCTAAAGAAGAACTGATTAAAATATTATCGAAGTACAGACTCAAACCATCCAGCGTGACCAACAATAGTTAGTAAATATACTTAATTTTAAGTACTAAATTTAGGGATTTACATTACAGTATAAAAAATTTCGGAGGATTCTCAAATTTCATTGGCGGAAAAGATGAGACCTGGTTTGAAAGCAAAAGAATTCCTATAAGTACAATCTCTTAAGAAGGATGTCGACAAGCTTTTGATGCGTACAATAGCTGGAAAAAGGTTCAATAAACGTTAAATTCAGGTTTAAAATTCGACTCTAAAATAAACTTGGTTTATATGTCGAAAATTTGGAAAACTGCGACTCGATGAGTAGTTATGAAGTTCCAGAATATTGTGGATTTGGTGATGAAGCTTCTTCGAAAGTGCAAGACTTAGCACGATCAGTGAGCAAGTCATCGAATTCACCATTGATGAGAGAGTTGAGTAACATGTCCTAAGTGCCTAGTATAAATTCTATACCAAATGGTGACGAAGAAATAAACCCGAGGCTTGATCCAGATTCAGATGAATTTGATTCTAAGTTTTGGGTTAAAAATCTTAGAAAGTTATACAATTCAGATCCCTCTTTCTATAAACGTTCATCATTGGGGGTAAAGACCTCAGAGCATATGGTATTGCCACGGATGCTGATTATCAAACTACGTTCACAAATGGAGTTCACAAGCTAATTTCACAGACTATACGGAATTTCATAGAGAAAAACAATGAGGATGCTAAATGCGACATTTTGAAGCCTATGAAAGGAATTATGAGACCTACTGAAGTTACTGTGGTATTGGGTAGACCTGGTGCTGGGTGCTCAACATTTTTGAAAGCAATTGCAGCTCAAACATATGGATTTCAAGTTGATCCCAACTCTATTATTTCTTATAATGGCTTGACACCAAAGGATATTACAAACCACTTCAGGGGAGGTGTCATTTATTGTGCAGAAAATGAAGCACACTTCCCTCATTTAACAGTTGGGGATACTTTGGAATTTGCTACGAAACTAAGAACGCCACAAAATAGACCTGAAGGTGTATCAAGGGAAGATTATATGGATCATATGACGAAAGTCGTCATGGCCATGTACGGCTTATCACATACTAAAAATACCAAAGTAGGTAACGATTTTATTAGGGGAGTCTCAGGAGGTGAACGTAAGAGAGTTTCTATCGCGGAAGTTGCACTATCATTCGCGTCTTTACAGTGTTGGGAAACTCCACTAGAGGGTAAGTTCCGCCACCGCATTAGAATTTATCAAAGCATTGAAGGCATCCGCCACTGTTTTGGACGCTACTCCATTGATTGCGATTTATCAATGTTCGCAAGACGCCTACAACTTGTTTGATAAGGTCGTATTACTTTATGAAGGCTATCAAATTTTTTTTGGCGATTGTAAACATGCCAAGGAATATTTTATCAATATGGGATATGAATGCCCTCAAAGACAAACAACGCCAGGTTTTTTAACTTCGTTAACCAATCCAGTTGAACGTATAGTGAGACCAGGATTTGAAAAAAAAGTACCCAGAACTTCAAAAGAATTCTACGATTTCTGGCAAAAATCGCCGGAAAGACATGCATTGTTGAATGAAATTGATGACCACTTAAATAAATCTGACAACGAAGAGCGCATGAAAGGTTTTAAGGAGGCACATAATGCAAGACAATCGAAACATACTCGTGCGGCATCTTCATATACTGTATCATACCCAATGCAAATTAAATATATTATGGCAAGGAATATTTTAAGAATTAAGGGAAGTCCGTCGATTACAATTGCAACTGTTGTTTCTAGGATTGTAATGGGACTTATTATTTCTTCCATGTTCTACAATCAGAAGGATAATACTGGTTCATTTTATTTTCGAACAGCGGCTATGTTTTACACTGTTTTGTTTAACTCATTTTCGGCTTTATTGGAAATATTTTTACTTTACGAGGCGCGATCTATTGTTGAAAAACGTAAGACTTATGCGTTTTATCATCCGTCTGCTGATGCTCTTGCTTCCGTTATAACTGATTTCCCTATTAAGCTCATTTCGGCTATAATTTTCAATTTGATTCTTTATTTTATGGTTAAATTACGAAGAAGTGCTGGAAACTTTTTCTTTTTTTTGTTGATTAATTTCACTGCTAACCTAACGACGTCTCACATATTCAGAACTATTGGTAACCAAATCATTATCTCAAGCCATGACACCTGCTTCTGTTATTTTGCTCGCAATGTCAATATTCACAGGCTTTGTTATACCAATTCCGTACATGCTTGGATGGTCTCGCTGGATCAACTATATTGATCCCTTAGCTTATGCGTTTGAATCTTTAGTAGTCAATGAATTTCATAACAGAGATTTTCAATGCACAGAATTAGTTCCGTTTGGTCCTGGGTATCCATCGTCAGGTGATTCAGTTGTGTGTTCAGTAGTTGGTTCTAAGCCTGGTTCCACTATCGTAAATGGAGATGATTACATAAATTCTTCTTTCTGGTATTATAACAGTCATAAATGGAGATTTTGGGGAATTCTTCTTGCATTCGCAATCTTTTTCTTGTTTGTTTACATATCAATTTGTGAATACAATAAGGGAGGGAGACAGAAAGGAGAAATATTAGTGTTTCAAAAGAATGCATTAAAGAAAAAGAAAAGAAGTGATATTGAGAGTGGACAAACTGAACAAGTAGACCCGCAATTCTCTAACGAAAAATGTTTGGATGATGAAGCTACTAGTGACTTACCTTCCACTGGTAATATATTTCATTGGCGTAATTTAACTTATGAAGTTAAAATCAAGTCTGATTATAGATGTATCTTGAATGATGTCGATGGGTGGGTTAAGCCAGGGCAAGTGACTGCATTGATGGGTGCTTCGGGAGCTGGTAAAACAACCTTATTAAATGCATTATCGGATAGATTAACTTCGGGCGTTATTACTTCAGGAAATCGTATGGTAAACGGTAATGAATTAGATGCTTCTTTCCAGAGATCCATAGGTTATGTTCAGCAACAAGATTTGCATCTTCAGCCCTCTAACGTGTGTGAGTCGTTGCAATTTTCAGCATACTTGAGACAACCAGGATCAGTATCTAAATCAGAAAAGGATTTGTATGTTGATTATGTATTGAGGTTGTTGGAAATGGAAGATTATTCTGATGCTGTAGGAGGTGTTTCGGGAGAAGTTCTTAACGTGGAGCAGCGTGAGAGATTATCTATTGGAGTTGAATTGGTTGCGAAGCCTAAGCTATTAGTATTTCTTGATGAGCCCACGTCGGGTTTGGATTCACAGACTGCTTGGTCTATCTGTAAATTGATCCGCAAATTAGCAGATCATGGACAGGCTATTTTGTGCACAATTCATCAACCTTCAGCGATCTTGTTACGAGAATTTGATAGATATTATTTTTGCAGAAAGGAGGTCAGACTGTTTATTTTGGGGATTTAGGGAAAAACTGTCAAACATTGATTAATTACTTTGAAAAATATGGTGCGCCCAAATGTCCACCAGAGGCTAACCCATCAGAATGGATATTAGAAATTATTGGAGCGACACCAGGTACTGAAGCCAATCAGGATTATTATGAGGTGTGGAAGTGTTCGAAAGAATATAGAGAAGTAAACAATGAATTAGATAGAATGGAACAGGAATTAATAAAAAGACCGAAGGATAATTCAAAAGAAAATATGCAAAAATATGCAATGCCATTATGGTATCAATATATCCAAGTAACAAACAGAGTATTCCAACAGTATTGGAGGACACCTTCATACATATATTCAAAAATTTTATTATCGATTTTCAATCCACTTTTTAATGGCTTTGTATTTTTTAAAGCTAATAATTCCATTCAAGGATTACAAGATCAGATGTTTTCAATCTTTTTGTTGTTTGTGGTTTACAATGCTTTGGTGCAACAATACTTACCTAATTTTATTTATCAGAGAAATTTATACGAGGCTAGAGAGAGACCTTCGAAGACATTCTCATGGTTTGCATTCATTGTTGCTCAAATTACTGTGGAAATTCCATGGCAGATACTCTGTGGAACGATTGCTTTCTTTTGTTGGTATTACCCGGTTGGACTATATAAGAATGCTGAACCTACAGATAGTGTTGCTGAAAGAGGGGCGTTAATGTGGATAATTATTGTATTGTTTTTTATTTTTTGTTCAACCATGGGACAGTTGTGCGTGTCACTTAATGAGTTGGCCGATAATGCAACGAATCTAGCGAGTATGTTATTCGTGATGTCTTTATTATTTTGTGGAGTTTTGGTATCATCCGATGCTATGCCCAGATTTTGGATATTCATGTACCGGTGTAGTCCATTCACTTATTTAGTAAATGCTATTCTTTCTGTTGGATTAGCTAATTCAGATGTAACCTGTGATGATCTGGAGTTATTGAGATTTAAGCCTCTCGAAGGTCAGACATGCGGTGAGTATATGAAAGAGTATATTCTGAAAGCTGGCGGCTATTTACTCAATAAAGATGCTAGAGATACTTGTGAATTTTGTTCAATGTCGTCAACCAATGAATTTTTAATGCAAAGAGGATCAGATTATAATTTGAAAAGTCAGAATATTGGTATATTTGCTTGTTTTATTGCGATTGACACTATGGGACCCATCTTTTTTTATTGGTTAACCAGAGTTCCAAAAAGAAATAGACAGAAAAATTAATAAAATTCAACTCAATAATTGGCGGATGTGGTGATGCTGGCAGGTGCTAACTTCCATATAATAGGAAGTATTATTTGATTTAGAACATTTATTTAGTCATATACTGCCCGTTGGATCGACCAATTATCGGGAGTGGCTGTCAAAAGGGTATCGAAGTTAGCCTAAATTTACTAAAGTTATAACATAAAAATGGCAATGTATTAGTATGTAGGACACTCATATAAGTTAGATAATGCAGTGTTGGCTACTCTACAGAATGATATCTCGAACAGATGATTTTCGTCTTTACGGCCTTAGTTGTTTGAGACAATGTTTTGAGTTTAGGTACATGTTATAGCGTGTGCTCTTTAGAATTCGTAAGAATTCTTATACTTCAAGCTCAATTTGCGATACCAGCAGTATAGATATATTCATATTTCAAGAGGCATCCTTAATGCAAGCTTTTCAAGGCCTTTGAGTGGTCTACTTAGAACCTGCATTCATAATAAAAGAGGAATCTATTTTTTTCAATTATTACTATTTGTATGCCAAGTCTTGAACCCAAATGTCCCGTATTTGATTTCGTTGTTTACGAGATGACCCAGTAAATGAATTCTCCTAGAATATAAAACAGTTCATTTTGATAGAAATCGAAAGTTTTAATTTTAATAGTTGTCAAGTAATTCGTGTATCTAGATCTGGATAGATGGGTACGAATTTTTAAGTTTGCCAAGTAAATCTGATAGCAAAAATATTTTGCGTTGATTAAAAAGGAGTTGCATCAGATAAATATTACCTTGTATGATTTTTGTAGATCGGGTTGATAAATTTTTCAAGATGATGCATTGATCATATATATGGCAAGTAATAATTGTATTTTTTAAGCTTTTTAAGCGAGACAATATATTAACTCTACAAGAATTGTTCTAGATAATAACTCCAGCAAGTTTGCTTCCATCAATCGAGATGAGAAACATACAGTGGAGAGTAGGATGGACGATGAGTTCAACGAGATCGGTAAACATGAAAAGTCTACAAATTCTGAAACTCAAGAAGAGCCACTTTTTCCTCCCATGAGAGGTGTTCAACTTATAGAAGAAGTCAAGGCTGCTATGTATGATTCAAAGAGGGTAAATTTTTGAAGGCAGTTTACGGTATTTCTATTCTTCTTTGTGCTTCGACAACTTATTTGAACTCTTCTACTTTTAGTTTGCAACCTTTAGCGACTTCTAGTTTTGGAAGTTATTCAAGTTTAGGGACTATAAATATTGCCAATGGTATTGTAGCAGCAGTCAGTGACTCATTTTTTGAAAGTTTGTTGATTTGATTTCTAGTTTTATTTACATCATTTCAATATTTTTTTATACAATTGATTACATTATTGCTGCCTCAAGTCAGACTGCTACAGCGTATATTGTAGGGTTGAGATTAGCTACTGTCAGTAGAACAGGGGTCGCTTTCGTAAACTCTCTTATTGTCATCGATTTTATACCTTTAAAATGGAGAGGGTCTTGTCACATTAATTTTGACAACTTATTATTAATTGATGGTGATCTTACTCCTGCCTGATGCATTGGATACATAAATAATGATACATTTATATTATTAAGTACAATAACTGTTTTATATAGTATGACATTATGATTTAAAGATATTATAGCTGAAAGTACATATTTAGGAGTATTTTTGTATTTTGGTGTTTATATTACTATGTAAGTAATTATATTTTTTATTTAAAAGGTAAGTATTTAATAAACTTCTCAGAGGCTAAACATAAATTAATACCCGAAGCGGGGATATCCCTTGCCGTATGCAAGTCGTATTAAAAATTCTGCTTGTTATATATATTTGGAACAAATTGTTCCAAATATTGAATATCAACTATTTGATGTCATTAGACTACACTAGACACGAAATTATTCAACATGGCAAAAATATGATTGTAGGGGCAGGCATTTGTATTATGGTAGAACATAATAAATAACGATATGTTCTATTAACATTTATGTTCTATTAACATACATATTAAAGACTACTAGATCTATAAAAATGGATTACGATTAGCCTAAACATAATTACTGCCCGTTAACTAAGGATATGACAATCATTTCATGGATTTATTCCTTTAAATTCAGACTACTGCATCGTCGAGCAATTTCACTCGCACTGATACAATCGTCTTGTCATATGTAACGTTATGCTCAGAGTCGACACTATAACATCTGCAGTCATCGAATTGATTTTTAATAGTGATACAAAACTAACTTTTATTATGCGTTAAGTACTATTTGTGGATGCTAATTTTAATTTATAAACCACAAAGCATTAGACTATATAATAGGGTATATCCGCTCAGGAATACTAGGGTGATATAAGATAGACCACCCCAAAATTCTACGCTAAATTATACTATTAGTATCGTAAATATGGATAACTTATTGAATCAAAAAAACCAGGATATTGTTTTAGTCGCTCCAGGAAATTCTGTTAATATAGAGGTTCCTACTATCAATGTTGATACAAACCAAGAAAATAATGGTATTAATGACTCGAATGTCGAAGAGGCAACTATTTATCTCTCACAATTGAAACTTAACAATGCGCCCGGGGAAGAACAACGCCAAGGAGAAATATACTTAACAAAATTGAAGCAGCAGGCTGCGGAAAACAAAAGTGGGACTACGCTACACCACCAAATGTTAAGGGATTCTACAATTGAAGTGAGAGAGAATGTTGACCATATTAATCGGTATCTCTTTCTTGATGAAAATGGACAACCACAGGAGACAGAAAATGTAGCTTTTGATTTTGGAAATCCTGCTCTCAACCAAATGTATTCATTAATTAGAAGAGACATGAATGCATTAACAAATCGGATGGACCGAAAATTTGGCAACATGGACCGAAAATTTGGCAACATGGACCGAAAATTTAGTGGTATGGAGAGACTCATTATGAGTGAACGAAATAAGTCAAAGAATAAGCTCTTGGCATCTGGAGGTGACGCTGACTCGCCAAATGCTTATCTTCCTATTTGTAATGATCTTGGACAATACCCTAATGATGGTGGTCTCGAACCATTAACGTCGCTTGATCAAATTAATCGAATGAATGGAATATTAACTGATCAGTATTTAAGCTTTTACAGACTAGGCACCACTCGTCTAGTTTCAGAAAAGAAAGCCAGATTAATGGAATATATTGGAATTCATGAAAGAATTGTCGTGAGTTTAGTACGCGGTGCATCACCGGTCTGAAGGAATATCTTATTTCCCATGTATCAGTTTGCATCTTACCGGCGGATCTAAAGATGATCCAACATTGCTATATATATAAAAATATATAATTTGTATGAACCCCAAATATGATGCTAAAAGCGACATCCACGTAGACGAGAATGCCCACGCTGTGAGGGATTTTTGCTCGATCTTGAATAAGAATTGGACTAAACAGCTCATCTCTTCCGTAACTATTATACTTGTCACTTTAGTACTCGTGGACTAAAACCTGAAACGGACTACATTGAGAGTTGTAGTATTATATATATATAATTATTCTTGAATATGACGTTATTAACGTGATTTCAGATACTGTCAATTATATAAAGATTGTTAAAAGCGTTAGACCGTTTATCCACGCCAGATGCAAATTCATTTATCAAGTTAAATATTATTAGTGGAATATACTGAAAATAATTATTCTGAGTAAATCTGACGGCCAAAAATATTACTATCACAATATGCTACTCTCATCTACATCTGGTTTTATATCCAGTTCCTTTCGAAACCTTTTTTCTGCTACCATGGCAGACCGTCCGTAATGCATCCCTCTTTTATATGGCGTTGATTTGATTGTAAAGTCTTGGAGGCGATTCAATACTCTTATATATTCGCTGATCTCCGAACCTGGGCCAGAGGATTCCGCTTAATGCCAGGGTAACTAACATAATACTGGAGTATAGGACCCTCATATTGCTTTTTTTTCAGGGATCCGATTCCATTGCATACGCTCATCTGGCATAGTATAGGCTCATAGCTTGGGTAGCAAAATACAGACATGTAACTGCCATGGTCAGATAGCTAGTTTGGCGAATTGGTTAGGTAGCGAAATGTTGAATATTTGCGCGCGGACTGGGAGAAATTTGAGGGGGGATATTTATTCGTTAACGCATGGTGTATAGAGAGTCGTTTATAGATTGTAGAGGTATACAGAATATATCCATTGGTCATTGCGTGTTATGAGATGAAGGAATAGTCTATTTATGGGAAAAGTTGTTGCTAATAAGAACAGTAGTGAGTGGATGTCATATATACAACTCTTTGATATCGATTTTACTCGACTGCTGGTGGATGGATGTAGAGAAACGGTGGGTGGCAAACCTACATGGAACCTCCCACCAGACAGAACATGAAGAATGAATTGCAACAAGTCACGTGTATGAACTTATGATTGCACATTTCCATACCCTATATCTGATAACTAATGACATATTCTGTATCTATAACCATGCGATAGTTTTCCATAATGGTAATATATTTTATTACATACGTCCTCGTCAATTAAAATTAGAATCAGAGTCCAATACAGGATCCAATTCTAAACTTGTATTTTTAAGCGGATCAAATATGTCAAAGTAATTGTTGTAATCCGGATTTACTGAATCGTTTTTCATTGACATCAAGTCGAGCCAAAACTCATCGATATCCGTAGCAGTAGTAATTGTAGTATCATTTTTGGTGAAGGGCAATTGATAGTTGTGCTCTTCTGTATCTAAAATATTTTGTTGAAAGGAAGGGTCTTCATGTAAGTCTGTCTCATTGAATAATGGGTTGAGCAATTCAATCATTTCATCGATAGCCTTCTCGTTAAAGGAATCCCAAAGGTTTAGAATTGATGTTTCGTTCTCTGAATAAAAGCTTTCAGATAACATTACTGAAAGGGCATGGCTATGAACTTTATATAGTCTCCAAGCTATATAGTATTTCATACTTAGCTTTTTGAGACAGTCTAACATCCATTGAGTGCACTTTTGAAGTAGCGAAATTAGGGTTTGAGCTTTTAGATAATGGCAATCCTTTTTAAGTATATTTGAATAATTACCCTCTGCTATTTTCATTTTGAACTCAAAATATTTTACACGTATCAAGATGAATGATAGGCAAAAAAAATATTTTTGTGCTAGACGTATCAAACTTGGTATAACATAAAATAAGCTAATTTCATCTAAGGCATTTATGGTACCATCTAAAATTTTCAGGTAATATGGAAACTGATCTATAACCGAAATTTTTAAAAGTTTCTTAGCATAAAAGCATACCAACCCATCATTCTTTTTTTTCTCATAATGAATAAATATTTTGAAATACATTGATGTCATCAAAAACTTAATATCGAGCATACCGTTCAATTCGACCATATCTTCCAACGTAACCAGATGAATAACACTAGATTGATTCTTCGAGATTATATCTCCCTTTTGTAAATATGATTCTAAGTGTACAAGTGACTCTAAGAGTCGATTTATATTCATTCCTTCTTCTACATTGAAAACATTATCAAAGGCTATTTTCAATAACTCTAATCGTCCCTGGATATTTTCAAAAACATGAATAATTTCTCTTTCTGAGCTTTTATTGATACTATTTTCATTCCCTTCGTTATAATAAGGAAATTTCGTATCAGAAGGGATAATACTAGTCATTAGTGGGTCTCCAACTAGAATGCTATTGTTATAGTCTAAGCAGATAATAAAATGCCAAATCTTTCTACTTAAATTACCTAACCTGGCGTTGTTGAACTTATAACTCAAATTGCTTGGATCGCGACTGAATCCTAATGAATATGCCATCTGAATAATTGCTGAATTCAATGTACGTGAAAGCCGGTTGTCTAGTCCGTCTCCTTCTTCTGGTGCATACGTATAATAAACTCTAATATAGAGTGCTAACTGCAAAACCTGAATATCATTACACTGATTATAATTAAAAAGATTAAAGCAACACTCGGCAACCTTGAATGTATCCATTCCTATGACATTAGATACCAAGGATTCCTTTTCGAGATTGGCACCTACATCCTTATTTTTATTATCACCCAGGTTTGATGTTAATGCCAAATATGCCAACCTTAAAAAAATTAAAAGAAGACCAATTACTGCAATATCAACTTTATTTCTTATTGTTAATCCTTTCAGCCCTTCATCAAAACCTTTCTTCCCAATAATCTTTTCCAACTGCTTTCTAAAGTCAATTTCGTCTACCAAGGGAAAAAATGGATAGATCTTTAAGAAAAAGTAATCTAGTAATTTCCAACTTAACTTTTTTTGTGGCAAGATAGCCTTAATCCTTTCAATTAAATCGTCATCCTGGAGCTTATACGCAAAAACGGGATATCTATTAGTTTTCCCCTGTGCACCAGTACCTTTATGGAGTGACGAGTTCACCCTTGTTTGTGTATTTGCATCTTGGAAATTACGGCCCTCTTTTGAATAAATATCTAAATCCTCGTTAACGGTTTTGAAATCTTTTTTATGGGCTTCGATATAACGAATATATGGCAATGTATATTCATCTAGGAATAATAGTGTAAACCAAGAAAGCGGACCAAAATACTGTCTATTATAGCCACTAGATCCTACAACTTTTCCATCTTCAAAAATATTTATTGTCTCTTGAGGCAGATCGTAAGGGATTTTGGAAGGCGTATCCGCTTCTGTTGAAAACTCTGAATACTTTATATTTGTCTCATTCAAAGGAGGTTTAGTACCTGGTGCTATTTTACTCTGTTCTAAGACTGAATAGGGTTTTATTGGTTTTAAGCCTTGTAAGTTTCTATTTGGGGGTAGCTTATTTGTCATTAAATCACATCTCTGATTCTTATATTTTACACACGTAGAACAAGGGGAATTTCCATCACATTTCACCTTTTTCTTTCGACAGAGAGAGCAGGCACTTTTTCCTCTTCTATTTTTCCTCAAAGGATAACTATGTAGATCTAAAGGCATAGAAAAATCTAACTCGTAAAATCAACTGATTAATATTTAATCCTTGTTATCTATTTAAAGACACAAAACATCCAAGTTACACTTAAAAAGGCTACCGTGAATCAAGATGAGGAAATGCTAATTAAAGCTAGTCTCACCAATATTTCGTAATAGTGGATTACAACTTCCTAATTTAACTCTTCGATTATATTGTTACTTTTCCATAAACTTTATAGACCAATAGTTTCGACTAGAATAGGTCATGAATTTACCGTTTACTGTAAAAATGTTTTTTTTTCTTGAATAACTGGTCTACACGTTTACATATAAATTATTCTACTGTGATAAAGTAAATAAATCATTTTTTTTATAGAGATCCCGCTCAAATATTATCATGAAAGAATTATTGAAATTTTAAGCAACTCCATATATTAATAATCAATCAGCAAAACAATTTTCGATATTTATTAGTATTTACTACGATAAGACCTTATATTTCTTATAATACATTAAAGGTAAAGTGCTTTAAATGATGATCAACCATTAGGATTTCGGATAGTTTGCACCCGTTCTCGCAATAGTTTACTCCGATTTTATTTTGAGTTCGATGTATAGCGTAGTTTTAGGAAGGGAATAACGATACTCTGTAGACTGTGTGGTGTAATGCACAAATGCATAAGTACTTCGTTTATGATAGAGATGAATATGTTGATTTATCTAATTTCAGGCCACAGTTTTTTAAGTTTTCAAACAATATTTTGATCTATTTCTCAACCTTTCGCCATACTTATAAAACAAGAAGGGAGCCGGAAGTAATAAAATTGAGATGAAACCTAACAATGAGCCTCCCCAATCGACTCCCAATTTATCAAACATCTGTCTTGCAAACAAAGGAAAAGCCGCTCCAAATGCGTATCTTATCATTGTGTTTCCAGCAACAGCAGAAGCTGTATATGGCAAGTAACACTCGATCAAATAGGTCAAAGATGGTAAAAATATACATATCAATCCAAAGCCTATTGGAAATGTACCAATGGTAGGAATAATCCAATGCACATCTTCATGGTATTGCCCACTCCAAGCTAACCAAAATAAGCCACACGGGAAAATAACTGCCCCAATCATCATTGGTACTAACCTCTCCTCTGGCACTAATCTTCCCGCTGTCTTCAGTATTCTTCGGTATCTCTTCTCGAAAAGTATATTCACAAAGCCACCAACTTCTACTCCCATAATTACTGCAATGTATGGTAGCAGTGAAACTCCCTGACTAAAGCCATATCCTGACTGACCAAATATTATTGGAATTGCTGTTAACAACAAATATAATAATCCAAATATAAAAGAATTATAAATTGTTATGGACAAAAGAATTGGCTCCGAGAATAACATACGAATCGGAAGTCCTATTGCCTTCATTACAATATTATCGAAAGAAGGAGAAAAATCTTCATGACCAGCGAAAATAGACCAATTGCCTGTTTCTTTCCTTAATATTTGTGCTTTACGGGATAATATGACGCCATTGTGAGTCTCTTCATAAAAGAATATAAGTAATGCTAGCGTGATTGAGCACATTATTCCCATAATATAAGCACACCATCGCCAACCCAATGAGTAATTTTTAACAATAAACCCGTTAATTATAGGAGCTAACATTGGTCCGCTGAATAGAATCATTGCAAAATATGTGATAAGAGTTGCTCTATTCCTATTATTGGATATTTCTGCTAAAATTGCCGCAACGATAACCATTGGGGCAGCACTTACAAACCCAGAGAAAAATCTGCAGAGTATAATTGTCTGAATATCTTTTGCTGTGGCAACAGCAAAGTTAAGTACCAAATATATGAATGTCGTTGGAACTAAGACTATTTTTCTTCCAAAAACATCTGATAATGGACCCCATAATACTGGTCCTGAAGCATAACCAAGAACGAAGAGCGATGTACATAATGTCGAAACTTCTAAACCGACATGAAACTTTTCCAGAATCTCAAGAATTCCTTCTGAAAGTACTGCAGATCCATAGGTACTAGTGAAACAAGAAGTCATAATTGCAATTATCAACGGTAATTTCCTTCTAAATGAAAAATTCTGAGGATTAGTTGGATCGTCTTGCCCCTCAAACAAAACAATATAGTCAGCGGGGTCTCCTACTTTAGGTGGATAGGGCCTACCGCCGCCCATTTTAGGAATGCAGTCCTCCTCTAAGTCCCCAATTTCTTCGTTCTCATCGTCTTTTGAATTAATGTGGTGATTGTTCCGTTCTAAGTCCGAGGAAGCATCGTTTGACGTAGTTTCTGTTTTGCAGCCAATTTCATTTATGCGTGCAGCCATTTTGATTAGAATTAAATCTGATGATACCTTATTTTTCTTAAACTACTCTTATTGAATTATTTCAATTGTAAGATAACCCAGTATATTTACTGCTTTATATACTTTAATGGTCTTAGGTGGATGTTTTTGCTCTCGAGCCTAAATCTCGCATTTCCGCCAATAGAATTTGAGTACGCTCCGAAATCTATCTTTTATTGTAAAACATCACACTGTAATGTAATGTAACGTATTTTAATTACTAATTTCAGCGGCTTTTAGTAAATATCGCAATAGTTCAGTCAGTTCACAATTTATTATCTGCATGTACGAGTACGTCTTAAAGGCTATGAATATTTGATAATTGTTAGTACTTCAAATTTGCAACCTGATGAGATTGCTTTTGAAGTAGGGAACAAGTCAAAGAACTCTGTTTAGTTCTGATCAATCTTTCAATCTTCTTTGAGTTTGACATTTGTCAAGAAGAATGTTTTGTGATATGCATATCAATATGTAGCCACTGTTATGTCCCTTGAGGAATGTTCTGTCGCACATAATAATACGATATATGATCGTCAACAATGTTTGGGAGCCGACTATGAGACATTAATGGGCACATATGCAATTTATGAGGAAATAGAGTTACAATTATGCAACAATAGAGGATGCAGCCCTCTATATATTGTGGAATCAGATTACTGGTAGATGATATGGATGTCGAAAAGCAGAGACCAAAAAAAATGTTGCTGCAACTCACGTGCAATATGTCGTGAGGAACATTTTCCGCAACTATATGGATTACTGATATAATCAGCTGTACCGAGTCAGTAGAAAGAACGTGGAATTGCATTGGAAGGAGTCTTTACGATTGTTGAAAGTACTACAGAATATGATCAAGAGATTGCTTATTAAGGCTTCAAACAGCTACGAAAATAATTATCAATTGGTGCCAGTCAATACGTGTAAGCCTATCAGTATCGAGTCAGATATCGGGGTATTCAGCTTGATGGTGAATGTAAGGAATTTCGATGGATGCAATGAACACCGTCAGAATAGCACATACAATGTTGGGGACGAAAAGTACTTGGATGGTAGTGAAGTGGATGCACCAACCAAGGGAGATCCTTCATACAAAGCCAATTTGCGGTTAGAGGTAAGCTTCAAGCCCAAGCGACAGATCAAAGGGTCCGAATTGCTTTTTGGCAACGACTTCACTGTCCCCATCAAGTCGTACGTGCCCACAAGCATTTTGTCTACGGGATTGAAATTTTTTACCTATTTTATCAACAAAACTATCAAGGGAGAGATCTACGGCGATAAGCCATATCTCTACGGGCTTGCGTTGAACAGCTTCACGTACATGTCGCTCAACCATGAAAAGAAGGAGGCCGCTACTCTTGAAGCTAAAGAACCCGAGAAGGGAGCATCAGACGCTTCCACTGGGAACAATGGTAATAATGACGGCAAAGAGAATCTTAACTCAAACGAAGACAATACTTTGAAGATTCCGTCCGAACCGACACAGAGAAAACGCTTTTTCAACAACGTCAATCACTGTGAGAGTTTTGTGTTCAACGATACCACAAACTATGTGTTACAATTCGATACATCGTATCTTAAAATGGCCGATTCCAAGTACTCGGTTTCAATTCCAACCTTTGGCAATAGGTCCTTCGATATAGACGTTTCGAACTACGCCAACGATGAACTCAACAACTTTAACTGGGTCATTAAACAAGGAGGCTACGACGGTGTAGGCTGCGGTACTCTAGGATTAGTGGTCAACTTTGCTTTAGTCAATGAAGACTAGTTATCAGTTGTATACTCTGTATAGCTTATAATTATATAGGTACTGCATATAAACCGGACGTAAATCATCACCAAAAAAAAGTAAACCACCCTGAAAAAAAAGCAGTCACTGATTTCCATTTTGGAAAAAACAGTCACAGACCATCTGATCAAAGATAAGGTAGACTGCAAAATATAGTAACATGTCTATGGAGAATGATGGAGATACAGATAATATAGAACTAAATAAAGCAATTGCCGATTCTATATCGTCGTTGAACTATCAGCAAGATGAGCATGAAAAAGAAGACGACAAAAGCGACCACGCTGACGATATTGATTTAGAGAACGCTATTGGGGATGTGTTCAATCAGTTTGACTTCGGGGACACAGAAGCTAAGAACGAGGAGGATGAACAAAATGCTCATGAGGACAAGGAAGACGATGACCTGGAATTGAATAAAGCTATTGGTAATGCGCTTGGGTCAATGGATGTAAACAAACAACAAACAAGCGAAGTTTCACAAAGTACGACAGATGCGAATGCGGAGGGGAATGCACCTGGATCAGACGATAAGGAGAGTAGCAGCCAGAATGATGATGGGTTAGAAGAGGCTATAGGAAATGCCTTCAGTTCATTAGAAGATAAGCCAGAAATACATAATGACGCAAATCATAAAATACGGAAAGACGATGAACAGAAGGAAGACTCGTATCAACGTACGGATGGAGGCTTGAACGAAGGAGGAGGAGGAGAAGAAGAAAATGTCGATTTGGAGAAGGCAATAAGAGATGCTTTCGAGAGTAATCAACAAACACAGAATGAAGGACGTACGGATTCGGAAACGCACACAGAAAATGATTCCATAACAACGGCTTATGTGCCACCTATAACCACGGATAGTGATAAACATGATCGAGTAGAATCAGAAAGGTTAGATGAGGTGATAGATGGTGCTTTCAGTACACTCGAAAACTCTGACCGTCAAAGACGAACGAATGCCGAATCAGACAATGACGAAGACTTGAATAGAGCTATAGCCAATGCTTTCAGCGGTATAACTGAAAACAATAATAGCCATGATACATCTGAAAAGAATGAGAGAGATGGTGGTGAAGATTTGGATTTGAACGAGGCCATTGGTAATGCGTTCAAGAATATATCCGAATTAGGAGGAACTAATGATAGATCGAAATCAGAGTCACAAATCCAAACACATGCAAATGAACGCCAAGATGATCCTTATGGAAAACAAATTCATGATGAGGTTCAACGCAGGGAATCTCATGGCGACAAGTTAACGAATACTATAAATAATGTACTTGATGAGTTTATTCCAAGCAAGGATGAAAATAAAGAGAGCTCCACTAAGGATGATGATTTACATGACGCAATATCCGCATCGTTTAAACAATTAATGGGCGAACATGACACGAAGAAAGATAAGGAAATAAGTCATGTGTCTCAAGTATCAGAAGCAAAACAATCCAGTAAAGATGACAAAAATGATAATATGGATGCTTTTATGGAAAATGTTATTAGTGAAGCTTTCAGAAATGTTGCTGAACAGACAAAAGATTCACAAGATGCAACCGCTTCGTCAAAAAGAACTGAACATGAAAAACAAAGTGAAACAGGATTTGACTTGACAAATCTTGTTCAGAATATGGTGAATCAAATGTCTCATGCTGAAGAGAATACAAAATCAAATCAAGGTGGCTTACCTATTTCTGATGATATATTGCAGGAATTGGCTTTAGAGATTACAAATCAAGTTCAAGATCAGCTCGAAGATGAATCACACAAGAAGTCTAAGACGATAACTGATATGCCGCAAATTGATGAAAATGTTTTAGCCCATTTTCAGAATGAAGCATACAAAGACGATAATAATGACAGTGATAAAGTGGATACGAACAAAATTTCAACTGAAGATAATACACTTCAAGCAGCATTAGCAACAGCTGTTCGTAATGCTATTGAAAGTAATGCAACAACCTTAAATGATCCTAATAGAAGATTATCGCTTTCCCAAGGAAATAAACAAGATAACGAAACAGAAGACCTCGAGCAATTGCAAATGAATGATATTTTACAAAATGCTTTTAATATGGCTATGGAGAACCCTCATGATTTATTGACCAATTTAGAGATGGAAGATGAAAATGATGAACATCACAATAAAGCAGATGCGCATTCAACTATTGCCAGGTCTCAGAGTAATCAAGTTGCTACTGCATTGGCTAAACTACCACACCCGTTACCTGCTTCAACTACTACTTTCCTAGAATCGTTGAATCGTTCTAATGACATTGATTTATCAGGACCTTCATCAAATAGAAAAAAGAAATCTCAAAATCGTTTAAGCAATATTTCTACGTCATCTGAACTTATATCATCTCAAACAGATCGTATATCAGCTGTTGCCAAAAATATAATGAGTAATTTTGCAAATAAATCATTGACATTGAATAGTAAGGACGAGGCTAAAAAAAATTCTTTATCTATTGCGGAGACTTTAGCGTTGCACAGATCCTCCATGAACAGTGGCCCTCGAAGAGACTATTCATCAATAGAATCATTAGATGGGGCCTTGAGGAGCGAACCTAGCTCTAGTTCTAATTCGGATGCAATTAATTCACAAGTTTCAAATGTTTTATCTTCACTCTCATCTCGTATTAATAGTGCAGCGGGTAATTCTGGTGCTGATAATAATTTGTTGCAAGTAATAAGGCAAATGACTAGTGCTTTAACTTCAAGACCAAGTACTGCTTCATCTTCATATTTATTACCTACTACTACTCCCTCAGTGACTGATATTATAACGAGCTATAAAGATAAGAAGGATGAAAGCGTAATCATTAGTCCTTTGGTCTTAGCTAAGAAATTCTTAGAAGATAAACAAATGGCTCCAACTTATGGAAAAGCAGTATCTTTAATAGATAATGTATTAGAATTGTTTAATTCTAATTCAACGAGTGAAAGTCAAATTGATCCTTCAATGAGAGACACATCGTTTGTATCGTCTCAGTTGAATTTAGATAATGTTAAGCCAGAATTTATTACTTCTATAAGTAACTCAGTTGCATCAGCAATTTCAAGCTTTAGTTCAAGATCTAAAAAAGGATCGATTTTTGGAGAGAGATTCAAAACTGACTCTCCAGAATATAAGGAAAGAATACGGTTAGAAAATAGAGAACGTAAGAAAAGATGGAGAGAAGAAAATGCTGAACGAAATAAAGATAATGATCTAAGATCGAGAGTTTTAAAAAGGGCAACATTAATGTTTGGTGAGAAGGATACACCTGACAAGAAATCTTGGGTCGATGATGAATTTAATAAAAGGCGGGAAAAGAGAATAGCAAAACAAAAAAAGGATGATTTTGAAAGACAAAGTAAAGGCTACACTGATGATGATAGCTTCGATAGAAAGTCATTTAGAGATAAAGAGCCCAATGCTTTAGCTCATGATCCTAATTTAATAAGACCCGTTACCGATATTTTCAATATAGTATCAAATTTTGATCATAACGAAGATCCTGATGCAGCAATTACCGCGACGTCAGCGGCAACGGCAACGGCTGCAGCAATATATGCTAATACCCATAATACAACAAACTCCAAGATGGTAGAGTCTGCAGTATCTAAGATCCTTTTGTCTTTGATGGAAAATTCTCATTCAGTCGATAAAGAAGAGCGTATTGCCAACCTTTCAAGAGGCGTCACATCATCTTTCAAATTGGAGACATCACCTACATCATTATCGACCGCTAATAAACAAACGCTTCCTTCAAAACTACCAGATAGTGAATTAACCTCGCTTGTCAAAACGACGCCTACTTCAACAAACGGTATTTTGAATAGGTTATCAGCTACCATAAGAGGATTTTCACCATCCACTTTGTCTTCATTATCTAATTCGAATAACGTTCCGAGTTCCTTATTACAATTGCAAAACTTAACGCTCAACAATGATCAGGACGAGAATTCGCAAAAAAGGAAGACTAACGAACCTTTACCACATGATACGAAACGATCAAAACCATCATCTCCTCTGTCTGAACTGAAATCGTTTATCGAAAGTACATATGCACCTGAAAGTTCTTCGATTTCTAATATTGCGTCCAATTTAGATAATATTCGAAATGCAATTTCGAATACTAATAATTCTCACTTATGGAGTTCATCAAACGCATTGAAGATGCCCCATTATAAAAAGCCTGATGTTTTTTCTGCCATTTCAGTACATTCTAACACGGATGATAATAATATCGATCCAGCAATTAAAAAAGAATATCCAACCTTGTCATTAGCTTCCACATCACCATTTATTTCAAATAAGTCAAACTACCTATCAGGAAGTAGATCCTTATCTAACTCAACTATTGGGGAAGCATCAATTGGTTTGAGAAAGCCAGGTAGTTTTCAGAGACCAAGCTATTCTAAGCCAGATAAGAACAAAACACATAAGGGGTTTGGATATCCTCCTCTTCATTCAACTTCATTTAAGGATAATTAGTTCAATTCACTTTTTATTGTGTGTTTAATATTACTGAACAATAAGTGTATAATTAGTGTACTATAAATATGTATTAAAGTATGGAATATTATTATAAATCCTCCTCTTCATTTAACCTCATTTAAGGATAATTAGTTCAATTCATTTTTTATTGAGTATTTAATATTACTGAACAGTAAGTGTATAATAAGTGTACTATAAATATGTATTAAAGTATGGAATATTATTATAAAGGTTTTGTTTCATTTAATAACCAATTATAGGCCCTTTTGTTACCAATTTCTAATAATTTATTACAAAAGTCCTCTCTTACACTCTTATGATATTCATTTATCCAGCTTACTTCGGAAGAGCTTAAGTGCTTTGTAGAAATTAACTTTCGACAGAATGGTACCTTGGTTAAATATCCGAAGCATAAGAAACTGTCACCGTTTCTAGTTTTCCCAAATCTTTCACTGGATTCAATTATTTCTAATTCACTTTCAATTCTAAATCCACATTCCCCATCAACATAATAGCCCGGCTCATCTGTTAGTATAGCTCCTTTTTTAAATATATCCAGATTATTAGCACCGCCTGCAGTTGTCAGGATATATAAAGGACCCTCGTGTACATTACCAAAACTTCCAACACCATGCCCTGTACCATGGTTAAAATCTAATCCTTCATTCCAGAGAGGTTGCCTAGAATAGGCATCCAATATAGTGCCAGTGCTACTGGAATTGGGTGGAAATTTTGCCATTGCAACTGCCAAATGCCCTTTTAAAACTAAAGTATAATACTTCTTATACTCTTCTAAATTCTTGTCCTTTGGATTTCCAAATAGAAATGTCCTTGTAATGTCTGTTGTTCCCTCCAAATAATGAGCTCCTGAATCCAACAAGTATACTTGGGATGGATCAATTATAGAATTATCTTCTTTCGTTGGTGCATAATGTATAATCGCTGCATTGGGGCCAGATGAAGATATGGTTTCATATGATAAGCCCTTGAAATTTGGAAGCTTTGATCTTATGCAATATATTTTGCATGCTGCATCATATTCAGATATTGCACGGTGCTTGTCAATAATTTGGTGTTTTAACCATGAGATTAATAAAATAAAAGCAAGAGAATCTTTGAACTGAGCAATTTTAGCATTAAACAATTCTGATTTATTTTTTGTTAGCTTTAGGTTCGAAATGATTGAATCAAACTTTACAGACTGTTTCGCAAATGATTGAGGTATGTAGGAATATAAGGCATAATTTGTAGCTGCTCTTTCTGGTAAAACAATCAGTAAATCGCTTTGAGACGTTGTTGATTTCAATTGAGATAAATCTGAATAGAAATCATTATATGATTTGATAGTTAAACCTTTGATATGTGCCAAGTGCAGATGAAGTTCAACAGCGCCATTATCAATTTTTGTCTTGTCGATATACAAAATAACCGATTCCAAGGTGACTAAAGCATAACTGAAGAACACTGGTGAGAAGGGAATATCCGAATCCGCCCTTAGGTTAAATAGCCATGCAACTTCATCTAATGCAGATATTACGAGATGAGTACTCTTTTTAGACTGCAAGATCTTGCGTATATTATTTAGTTTATTCTCGGTACTTTCACCTGAATACTGTAATGGAAGCACATATATTGGATCCAACGACCGCGTAGGCTTATCCTTGCCCCACACAACATCAACCAAGTTTACCTCCAGAAGTAAACTAAAATTGAATTTATTTTCATACTGTAATACCCGAATTCTTTCAAAATATTCTCCAACCGAAACACTGATAAGTCTAGGGTCACACGAGATAACATTACTAAATTTATTTCCGATAGCTTCTCGGATAGCAAACTGCTTCCATGTAGGATATGACGCAATTCCCTGTTTTAGCAACGTCCAATGCTTAAGATCTAGTTGTTTCTCCGCCTGCAAAAAATACCTTCCATCTGTAGATAATGCCGCTTTTCCAGTGAGATTCTTATCATCATCAAGTGTCACGACACATAACCCTGCGCTCCCTGTAAACCCAGATATATACTGCCTTCTCATGTCTGCTTCCGCAGTATACTCTGATTGATGCTCATCTTCTGATGGGATAATATAAACCCCAATTCCATGTTCCTTCATCAATATTCTCAATTGACGTAGTTTTTCACCAGCGGACATAATCGATCCACCCAACAGAACTGGATTTGCAACATACGGCAAATCTGGTAGATTTGTATCATCATCTGAATCACTCTCACTGTCGATCTCTTCTGTTGTCATCAGACTCATTTTGGTTAATTGTGGAAACCTCATGAACGACTTAGATAAGAGCAGTGTAAATGATGGACATGTAGTTGAAAACTCGCTCTGAGATACAATATCCCTCTTATCAATCAGCAACAATGGCTCCTTTTCGATATTTCTAGTCATATTCAATAATATACGCCGGAATTGAGTCGTTATCTTTTGAAAAAGAACACTCTACTATTGTGGAGTGTCATTAATCTATCATTTATATGTAGGGACATTTTTGCGCGTGGATGAGAAATAAAATGTGACGCGTATACGTTAAGTAATAACATTGATTAATGATAAGTAAATAGATCAGAAATAACAATTATTGTAACTGTTAGTATTCAAAATGGGTAGATTAGTTGGTTTAGAGCTAGAGAACTTCAAATCTTACAGGGGGACGTCTTGTATTGGGTTTGGTACATCATTTTTCACGTCGATTATAGGACCCAATGGAGCAGGTAAATCAAATATGATGGATGCTATATCGTTTGTATTAGGAGTCAAATCTTCTCATTTAAGATCGCATAATTTGAAAGACTTGATCTATCGTGGGCGTCGTACTAATGTGAATGCGTTAGATAGCACGTTGGAGGAAATATCACCAGATCCAACTAGAGCGCATGTCATGGCCATTTATGAGAAGGATAACGGAGAAATATTGAATTTGAAGAGAATTATCACCAGCAGTGGAAGTAGTGAATATAAGATAAACGATAAGAGTGTGACGGCCTTACAGTATTCTATGGTCTTGAAGAACGAGAATATTTTGATCAAGGCAAGAAATTTTTTGGTTTTCCAAGGTGATGTAGAACAAATTGCCTCGCAATCGCCAAAGGATTTGACAAAGTTAATTGAGACCATTAGTGGAGCTAATGAATACCAACAGGAGTATGAAAATTTAAGGGATGAGCTGGAGAAGGCTCATGAGTCGTCAAATGTAGTCTTCTCGAGAAAGAGAACCTTGAATTCTGAATCCAAGCAATACAAGGAGCAATTGATAGAACAAGAGACGTTTGAGAAGAAGTTAATCGATAAGACTAATTTAATCAAAATGATCAACTTGTACAAGATATACCATAACGAGAAAAAACATTTTCAATTGCATGGCGAGTTGAAGAGTAAGAATGAAGAATTACATCTTTTGAAGCAGAAGTTGAACACCGAAGAAAAATCCTACAAGAATATGATGGCAGAGTATTCGAAGAAGCTGTTGAATTTGAAGAGCCATTCCAAGAATGTATCTGATATTGTTCGTAATATTGATTCCGAAAAGCGAAACTTGATTCCTGTGGATGCAAACAAGAAGTCATTGGTAACTAAAATTAATGCCTGTAATAATAAAATAAAGGATCTTAAGAATGATGTTCAAAAGCAACAAAAGCAAGTCTTATCTATCGAGAAACAATTGAGAGATGCGAAGAAAATGTTTGATGATTTCCAAGAAAAAGTAGATGCTTCTAGCTCATCATCAGTATCGCCAGAGAGTCAAAAGGAATATAACGATTTAAGAGCTAAATTCTTGGCCAGCGAAGGGTCGCAATTAGAAGAAGAATTAAGTCTTCTATTGAATGAAAAAGATTCGATAGATTCAACGATCACTAATTACGGTAATCAGAAGACAAATTCAAACTCTAGAATATCTGATTTAGAAAGCATTATACAATCAGAACTTAAAACGAAACTAGGAGAGGTATCTAGTGAAATCAATGACATACTTAGTCTTAAGTCAGAAAAAGTTGAATATAAAAACAGTCTTACAAAGAAAAGGGAGGAATTCAACTATCAGGAATTAGAATTAAATTCACAATTACGTGATATTCTAATTAAGCTTGACGAACTAGCTTCCCAACAGAGAGAATCTAATAAGCAAAGAAAATTAAGAGAGAATGTAACTATGTTGAAAAAATTGTTTCCGAAAGGAGCTGTAAAAGGAATTGTATACGATTTAGTCCGCCCAGCTCAGCACAAGTATGAGGCAGCTCTTCTGACCATTTTAGGTAGAAACTTTGACGCTATTATCGTTGAGACAACATCAGTGGCCTATAAATGTATTGAAATTTTGAAGGAAAGGAGAACTGGGGTTGCTACCTTTATTCCATTAGATTCTATTGTTAATGATTCACTTAATTTAAATTATTTAAGATCAGTGCACCATTCAGCTCAACCGGGTATTGATATCTTAGAATATGACGACACATCTTTAGAACAAGCTATACAATATGTTGTTGGGGACACATTGGTGGTGGAAAATATTGAAGTAGCAAGAAATATAAAATGGGGTTCTGGCAAACAATTGGATAATAAGATGGTTACTTTAGAAGGGTCCGTTATTCATAAGTCTGGCTTAATGACTGGTGGTCAGAAACAACAAAAATCTAACAAGACTCTATCATGGGATCAAAACGAATGGAATAGTTTAAGTAACCTTAAGGAAGACTTGAGTGAAAAGTTGACGAAGCTTAATGACGAAAAGCCAAAGGAGCTTGAAATCAACTTGGTGACTGATGAGATAAGTCAACTTGACGATAAACTTCCATTATTAAGGGCGCAAAAGGCTAATATTGAAAGGGTTATAGAAGACAGACAAACTGAAATTAATTTCCAAAAAGAGCTTATAGAAGAATTTGAAGTAAATATAGAGAGCAAAGTTGAATTATTGGAAATTAATACCCAAAAGATAGAAACCTTAGAGGAAAAAATAAAGCAGTTACAAGAAACTGTGTATCACGACTTCTGTGAGAAACATGGCTATGAAAATGGTATTGAAGATTATGAAAACTTGCATGGGTCTACTTTAAGAATTAGAGCGAAGGAGAGAACTCAATATTTGAAGGCAATTGATACTTTATCTAACAAATTAAATTTCGAAAAGGAGAAGTTAGCAGAAACAGAAAATAGAGAATCTGCGATGCAACAACGATTAAACGAATTAGAAGAAAGTGTTGGAGGGATTTTATCTGAGAAGGAAAACATCGAAAAAAAGATCGACAACTTCGAAGCTGAATTACAGGTACTTCAATCAGAGAAAGAAGACCTTGAAACTGAATTAAATTCCATGCTTAGGGTTTCAAAATCATTGGAAAATAATGTTAATGACTCGAACAATGAATTAACAAATTTGAATAAGCAAATTACAAGTATGGAAGAATCTATTCTAAAAGTGGACACCGAGAGAGTTAATATATTGAAAAACTGCAAGATTGAATCTATCAACTTACCATTGAAGGACGGTCTCTTAGACTCGATCTCTATTAGTGAAAATGCTGACTTGCTTATCAAAGATATATACGACATAGAAGTTGATTATTCCTTGTTGAGTGAAAAGCTTAGAGAATCATTCAACACGAAAATTGAAGCAGAATTAAGAGCTAGATTAGAACAAGTTATTGAAGATATAGAGCAGTTAACACCTAATGCAAAAGCTGTTCAAAGACTCAAGGAAGTTGAAACTAAATTGAAAAGCTTTGACAAAGACTTTACTAAAGTCAGACAACAAGAAAACAAAATCGTGGAGAAATTTAATACGGTTAAAGAAAAAAGATACGAATTGTTTTCAGGAGCTTTCAGTCATATATCGGGTCAAATTGATTTCATCTATAAGGAATTGACCAAGTCATCCACATCCCCTCTTGGAGGATCTGCTTATTTAACATTAGAAGACGAAGAAGAGCCTTATAATGCTGGTATAAAATATCACGCCATGCCTCCTATGAAGCGTTTTAGAGATATGGATTTATTATCTGGCGGTGAGAAAACCATAGCAGCTCTTGCGTTATTATTTGCTATTCATTCTTTCCAACCTTCACCTTTCTTTGTCCTAGATGAAGTTGATGCTGCATTGGATAACTCTAATGTTAACAAAATTGCTAATTACATAAAAAAGTATGCTGGTCCGAATTTCCAATTCATTGTAATTTCTTTGAAGAGTTCCTTGTTCGAAAGATCTGATGCGTTAGTTGGAATATATAGGGAACAGAGAGAAAATAGCTCCAAAACAGTTACATTAGATTTGAGAGATTATTCTGAAGAAGAAGTACCTATCGCTAATGCAAGTGTGTCAGTTGCTTAATGCTTAATGTCATATAAAGTAGGTGTATAATTATTTAGTATTCCAAAATAAGTTGCAAAATTGTTTTCTGAATATATCACGTGAATTATAATTTTTAAATGTAAGATGAGTCTTGTTACAGGTGAAACTACTTAACATTACTTACTTGAATGCTATGTCTCTAGTTTCGAGAAACTTGCAAGAAATTCGACATTTCGGCCGATTTCTAGGGTTAAGTTGTATTTCAGGTCGTACATTTAGCACATCTAATAAAATATTCAATTCACAAAACATTCAAATAGTTGAAAGTCAAACATCATTTCCAACTACGAATAACCACCGTGTTCCTAAGGCAATCAAGAGATACACTAAGAGAACCAAACGGGATACTGTTGATAAGACATCGAGGGAAAATATATTAATATTGGAAATTAATGAGTTATTGAAGAAGCATGACGAATATTTAACATTTGATTCCATTAAAAATATAGATATATTGATAGAAGCATTCCTTTATTCCTTGAACAGGCCAAGTTTTGAATTAAGTGATGTAGATATTATATACCAGACATCAGAGGGTGACGGTTTGGCTATTATTCCAAAATCGGCATATACCACAGAGATCATTGGTCAAAATCAAATTGAAGATAAATATACAGTTGTTAAGGTACCGAAAACTATAGTGGGAGATAAAGTGAAAATCATATTATTACGGCATCATGAGTTCTATGCAGAAGCTGAATTAATTAAAATTTTGAATTCAAGATCTACGGATAGTAATCGTAAAGACGAGTTAGTGATATGTGATAAGTTTTCAACATGCTCAGGCTGTCAATTTCAGATGCTTCATTACGAGGAGCAACTTAAGCTCAAGAAAACAGTTATACAGAGGGCATATAATTTTTTCTTTCCAAGATTATTGTCAAAGTATAATGAAGACTTCGGAAATATAGTAGAATCACCAATGCAGTACGCATATCGAACGAAATTGACGCCTCATTATGAGTTATCTGGAGGTAAGCGACATCTTCACGATATTAATATTGGGTTCAATCATGTTAATCCTACGAAACAGACTGTAGATGTG